CCCCCCACCGTTGTCCGTACCTGGAAGGCATTTGCTTGGCTAATTAACAGATCCCATCCCCCTATTGTTGTCACATGACCCTGGAGTGCCGCAAGAAGGCATATTTTTGATTGTGGCACAGTAAGTTGAGTGGGCACTGGCTGGGTCACTCCAGCAAATGTTGAGGACTGACATACATACATAGAAATAAAAATAAAAACACATAGTAAGATTGCTCCAACACGCAAATGAAGTTATTGCCTCCAGTTTACGAAGCACAAGGACAATCCCCTGCCCTGGCCAGTTAAATTAAGGTCTTAGCAATGCTCCTTGCATATAAATGGAGACAAATCAGGGAGGCTTCAATACCAGGTACATTGTTCTGACCAGTCATTCAAGTCCTGACTAATGGATACCATTAAGAGTTCATTATCATGCTAATAGCAAGAAACTAAAAGAATGGAAGGGGCTTGCTTTTGGGCTAGATTGGCAGGTCTCAGACCATCAAGTGTCCCAGGTCCCTTCCCCCCAGCCCCTTTTTTCTGTTTTGTTAGACCTGAGATAAGGGCATTTGTTTTGGGTAAGACACCGAACTGGCAGTGCCAGACCTCCATGTCAAGCCGGTGCTGACATCACTGTACATAGAGCCACCAGTTGCTTTGCTGCCCCAGCAGCAGCGTGTGCAGAAAGCCCTCCAGGACTCCAAAGTCTTCCCTGACCAAATCCATACCCCAGAGGTGATGCCAACCACCAGGCACATAAAGTACTTTAGCATGAACACAGCATAGTCTGGCCTGCGGGGTTGTGCCAGCTCGGGAAGGCAAGAGTTGCAGTTATGTGCCATCTCCCAACCCTGACGGTTGTGCTGCTCATAGAAGAAGCATGCCACTACGATGGTAGCAGGCACAGTGTAAAGTACGCTGAATATTCCAATCCGGATCATAAGTTTCTCCAGTTTGTCAGTTTTGGTGCCACCTTGCTTGATGACACTGCGGATCCTGAAAAGAGACACAAAGCCAGCCAGCAGGAACATGCTGCCAATGAAGAGGTAGATGACCAAGGGGGCCAAGACAAAGCCCCTCAGGTTGTCCAAGTTCTGGTTGCCCACATAGCAGATGCCAGCCACTGGGTCCCCATCCACTGAGCTGAGGGCTAGCACAGCTATAGACTTGATGCTGGGCACCAACCAGGCTGCCAAGTGGAAATACTGAGAGTAGCCAGCGATGGCCTCGTTGCCCCATTTCATGCCAGCCGCTAGGAACCAGGTGAGTGACAGGATAACCCACCAGATGGAGCTGGCCATGCCAAAGAAGTAGATGAGCAGGAAGACCAGGGTGCAGAGGGCAGGTCCAGTGGTCTCATAGTGGATGTGCTCCAGGTCATGCTCCCTGCTACATGCCACCTTCTCGTGGCCAGCGATCAACCTGACCAGATAGCCAGCGGACACCAACAGGTAACAGGCAGACAGGAAAATGATGGGCCTCTCGGGGTACTTGAACCTCTCCATGTCTATCAGGAAGGTGGACACAGTGGCAAATGTGGAGGCAAAGCACAGCACCGACCAGAGCCCGATCCAGAAGGTGGTGAAGGTCCTCTCCTCAGGGGTGAAGTAGGGGTTGTGGCAGGGCATGGCACAGTTGGGTATCTGTCCCGTCTTCACCCTGTTGTAGAGCGGATGCCTCTCATTGGACACCAGCACCATGGGGTCCCTGCACTGGCAACCTGGCTCACACCCGGTGGGGGCCCTGGGCTTGCTCCTGGGGGGCTCCACGCGTGGCTTGCTGTTGCTGCCGCCCTTGTGCGGGTGGCTGGGCGCCTTGGGCGGCCGCTGGGGCTGCTCGGGCAGGCTGGGCGCCGCCGTGGTCAGGTCGGTGCGGTTGTAGTCCATGCACAGCGTGTCCGGGTTGCCCAGCTCCGGCAGCCGGTCGCAGCGCATCCGATCCGGCCAGGCAAAGCCGTACTGGCGCATGAGAGGGGCACAGCCCGCCCGGGCTCTCTCGCACACGCTCCGGCACGGAGGAAGCGGCTTCTTGTAGTCCTCCAGGCAGATCGGGGTGTACATGCTGCACAGGAAGAACTTCAGGTCGGGCGAGCAGTGGATCTCCACCAGCGGCCAGAACTGGTGCACCTCCAGGCCAGCCTCGTCCTGCGTGTCGTGGTTGAACTGGTTGGGCATGTAGGTGTAGTTGTAGCCGATGCCCTTACACAGGGGCACGGTGATCTCCTGGCAGGTCAGGTCCTTGGCAGCGGCACCGAGCGACGGGGGCACCCAGCAAGCAGCCACCAGCAGCAGGTACATCATCATCTCCATGGCGGTCAGCCTGTCCTATAATCAGTCCAATGGGCGATCTGCTCAGTCCAGGGTCACAGGCTCATCTCCTCCGCTCACCTCCGTGCCACCAGCAGCCCATAAGTTCCAGCAAGTCAGTAGAGTTCAAGCAAAGTTATCGCCAGCCTAGGCAGCAGAGCAGCAAGCAGGTTGTAAATCCAAAGTGACAGCTTCCCCTGTGACAATTCCGGGCGCTGCGATGTCTATTGGAGCGATCCGAACCTCGGCACTTAGCACCTGGACCGCACTCCGCACGTTGTCCTCAGCGCTGCACTTACTCTCCAGGCTTAGGAAAAGACCTCATGAATATTTATAGAGGGACCGGGCAAACCCCGCCCCCCAACCAATCCTCTAATCCCCCTGGAGGGAGGCGGGGCTCTGCTGCCTGAAGCAATCAACCTTTTTTTTTTTATTTTGCTTTCTAAAGGTGGTCGCAGCGTGTTGATTAGCCGCCCATTGTCATGCGAGTGAGGACAAACGTACACCGGGATGAGATTTATTATCATCGCACATTCATTAACCTGATGTATTTATCACACCTCACCGATCACCACACTGCTGACACTTGTAAATACACCTGATGACACAGGATCGGAACACTGCTGGGTCCACCATGGAGGAAGAATTCTGCACTGGCATCAAAAACTGAAATGCATTGTTACTTTTATTATAGACATATAGATTCATTATTACTTTTATTATAGACATATAGATTCCTTGTTACTTTTATACACATATAGATTCATACTTTTATTATATACATATAGATTCATACTTTTATCATATACATATAGATTCATACTTTTATTATATACATACAGTATATGTTCATTGTTACCTTTGTTATATACTTTGACTTTGTTATATACATATAGATTAATTGTTACTTTTATTATATACATATATACACATTGTTACTTTTAATACTTTGAAGTTATCAGGTGTGATGAACAAATGACAAACATGAAGATCAGGTACAATAATGATGAGTAACAAGTGTTCTGATCCAAGTTTGTGATGCTCCAAGGACTTATTGTCAATAATTAAATAATAATTGTACATTTGCATAAAAAACCCCTACAACTTGAAATGCATTGATACATATATTTATATATATCAATTAGTGTCTTGATGAAGACAGACTGAACTTCATCGAAATGTTGACCATAAAATGCTGGTGCTTTGATTTATCTCCACTGCAAGACCGCAGAGTGACTGTATTCTAGGGGTAGGCAACTTTGGTACCCTAGCTGTGTTGAAACTACAAATCCCATAATGCTTTTGTCTCTGGATGTCATGCCTGTGGCAGTCAGAGTCTTGCAATGCCTCATGGGACTTGTAGTTCCACAACAGCTGGAGTGTCAAGGTTGCCTACCCCCAGCTCTATACCTTGGATTTCTATGCATGTTTTTGTGGATGAGCACCCGGGCATTTATCTTACAAATAGAGTGTGGTGGCTACCCCAGAACTATATACAGTATATATATGCATCTATATATATATATATCTATATATCTATATTTATACATATAGATATATAGATCTCTCTCTATATATAGATCGATATATAGAGAGAGATCTATATATATATTCTTTGGATTGTAGTGAAGAAATTCAGACTTGTTGAACACACTTTTGCCTGACATTGCTGTGATGAAGAAATTGATGATAAAACGTACAGCTTGAAATGACTGAATGCATCCAATATTATGACTCTTTTGCTGCCCCCCAAAATGTTAAATGATGCTCCTCCAGTAGAGAACAGTGAATGCTTAAGTTATTGGAAGGGACTTTGCTATCTTCAGATGGCACAGCCAGTATCTATGAGGCAGCAGTGTTGTCACCATAGGACTACAAAACACCTCATTCTGGGAGGGGGTGGCTTGTAGTCTACATAGATAGCTGTGAACAATATCACTGATAAAGCTGGCCATGCAAATAAAGACTTTTCTTGTTCAGCCCAGTGGGCTGGCCTAGAGAAGTCACTCGATTACCCCATCAATGCTAAACAGAATGGACAAATCTCTCCTGCTGGCTACTGTATTCACACAGCTACCACCCACTGCTGTCGTACAGCCAAAACAGTGAATGCATCTGATTGGCTGCATTCTCTGTTGAACCGACTATTTCCACCCATTTTTTTTATTATGACCAACAGGGGCGTCCTGAGCCTGGGTGACACCCGGAGCGGAGACCAGGTGACTCCCCGCCGTGACATCATTGCCGTATGCACGGCCATCTTATTGGCGCCTGCCGGCAGGCAGGGCGGCCGTTCACCCGGCGGGATATGGTATGTTGCCGGGTCTCCTTCTCTCTCCTGACACTGTCGGGCTCTCGGTCAATGACCAAGTGCCCGACTTTTCAGGGGGGGTGACACCAAAATGACTGTCAATCATTTTGATGCCACCCCTCCAATGGTGGCACCCAGGTTGCACCCCCCCACCCCCCCCTTGTGACACCACTGTTGGTCAATGCACAGGAATCGGGTAATATTCAGCTTCAGCACACAGCACAGGCAGGGAGCACAGGACATTATCAGCTGACAAAATATCTGGCCGGGTCAGCAGGTATTTCTTGCACTCATCAATGGTAGAATTAATGGATCAAAAGGGAACAAATACGAAAAAAATGTTAAAGTTTATATACAATGTCATTCAGATTTGTAGCTAAATGACGCTTGTTAGGATGTGTGCATGCGTGCGTCCTATTTTGTCCTAGTAGTAAAGTATGTCACCAGCACGCCGTGGTTAAATCTTCAAGAAGTGATCATTTTATTGATGCACACACATCTTGTCACATAGTAACGTTTCGGGGCCACTCAGGGTCCCTTCATCTATTTCCTCCTAGCATTAGATTCCTTTTATTTTTTGTGAATCTTTTTGCTTTTCCTTCTGCGGAGTATGCAGCGTGTGCTTGGTGTTTATTTATGACCAGCGAAACTCTGTCAGTGTGGACAGTCTGGGAGCTCAGAAAACTGATACATGGATCGGTATGTCAAGGATCTGTATGCAGAACTTGCACAAGTTGCATGTGTTCATGAAAACATACACTGAAATATGAATGCAGCCAGCCGACGGCGCCCAGGTCCGAGGTGTGCAGTGGCCTCTTACAGTCATTCAGAGTTGCTCCTCTTCAGTATGCATTTGTTGAAAGGGAATTTCTGAGCTGCAGGATGCTATCGCTGTTTGCACCCCACAAGCCTAAGAAACGTCACCTATAAAACTATTTCTGTAGTAAAGTTAGGTTATTTTTAGAATGTCAGTACCGGCATCATGTAGCAAAAGTAGCAACCCAAAAGTAGTAACAACTGAAGAGGAACATATTCAATAACAAAATATACTAGGTACGTTGGACTCCATGGACTAATACGTTTTCCCTTACCTATGGGATCTGGCAGAGCTTATCTAAGGGAACTGGTAGAGACCCAAGGCATGTCTGTGCATGCACCAGCTCTCTTTTCAAGATGGCGGCATGGGAGCTGAGCAAGAAGAACTTCACCTGCAAGGAAGACAACGACTTGGACTCCATGGACTAGGAAGTTTTCCCCTATCTAACTAGCAGAGTTTATCTAAGGGACCTGGTAGAAAGCCAAGGCATGCCTGTGCATATGCCAGATCTCATTTCAAAATGGCGGCATGGGAGCTGAGCTGAGCAAGAAGAACTTCACCTGCAAGGAAGACAATGTTGGACTTCATGGATTAGTAAGTATCCCCCCATCTATGGGACTTAACAGAAACTATATATGGAATCTGGTAGAGACGCATGGGGTGTCTGCACATGTAACGGATCTCTTTTCAAGATGGCAGCAATGGAGCTGAGCTGAGCAAGAAGGACTTCACCAGCAAGGAAGACAACATTGCACTCCATGTTTTTTTTTCTTTCTTTTCATACAGGGACTACACATTTCATTTTGGCTGCCATCTTGAACAGAGATCCGGTACATGTGCAGACACCCCATGGGTCTCTACCAGGTGCCATAGATAGGCTCTGTCCAGTCCCATAGATAGGGAGGATACTTACTAGGCCATAAAGTCCAACATTGTCTTCCTTGCCGGTGGAGTTCTTCTTGCTCAGCTCAGCTCCCATGCCGCCATTTTGAAATGAGATCTGGCATATGCACAGGCATGCCTTGGCTTTCTACCAGGTCCCTTAGATAAACTCTGCTAGTTAGATAGGGGAAAACTTCCTAGTCCATGGAGTCCAAGTCGTTGTCTTCCTTGCAGGTGAAGTTCTGCTTGCTCAGCTAAGCTCTCATGCCGCCATTTTGAAATGAGATCTGGCGCATGCACCGATTTGCCTTGGATCTCTACAAGGTCCCATAGATAGGGGAATATTTACTAGCCCATGCAGTGCAACATTGTCCTTGCAGGTGAAGCTCTTCTTGCTCAGCTCAGCTCCCACAGCGCTATCTTGAAAGAAGATCCGATACATGCGCAGGCGCACTACATGTCTTTTCCACAGACCCCTGGACTCCTGATGCACATGCGCAGACCCTGCGAGTCTCTGTCAGGTGTATGGGACAAGGGTGAAAGTCTGCTTAAAGGTTTGGTACATCCTGGCGAGTTAAACCACATACCAATTCCTTATATTTCTCTTGGACTGTCTTGGTGAGATCTCTGCACACTTGCTGTGGCCATTATGATTGCTGCAGTCACTATTCGGCCAAGAATTTAATCTCAGATCCTTTGACAATATTTGATTGAAAAATTGACTTTTGTCCAATGCATTGGTGCCAGCAGGGCCACACATTGGTCAAATTTTGTCAGAGTCAGCAGAAACATCCAAAATTCGGGCAGTGTATGGCCAGATTTAATATTGGACATTTCTTCTCATAGTCACATTTGCCTATCTGTGATCTGCTTGGGATGGGATGATATATAACCCCAGTAGGGGGGAAACACTCTACTCTCTTCTATTGAATAGATCAGCATTTCACTTATATCAGACCCTGCAGGTTTCATCATCCATTTAATACTTATCCA